GTGAATGAGTCTTCCTCCAATCCTGATGCCATGTTTTTCTTCATAGAACCCAGCTTCTCAGATTATTTGCTTATAATGCACTGAAACTGGTTTTCTCTCCGAGACCTTAGGGTGTCTGAAAAATATTTCTTCCTTCAAGCAGTCTGGCCCTCTTTTAGAATCTCCAGGGCTTGCTCCTTCTCTGCTTTAGGTTCTTTTTAAGTCTGATTATCTACCACTCATTGTCCGAATAACAAACATGACCCTACAGTCATATCTGACATTGTTTAAGAACAGAAACACTGAATGAGAATCTGACCATAATATAGATTTTGTTTCTAAAGTATTTTCTTGCATACACTCAAACCAATTTAATTTCATCAGCGTTTCACATTGCATAGCAAACCAAATGTTTTCCTGAGTATTTTTATTTTACTGAATTTATTTTCATTGCAAGTATCTTTTCTATGTAAATTATAAGCAAATAATTATTAATCATTTTTACACATATTAAATTTTTCTAACTGTAATTTTTGCAAATGAATTTCACAGGATGAAAAGTAATTATACTGATGCAATTCTACTGTTTGGTCAACAACTTTAACTGCTATCAGTTCTATTTTAAGCATATCTAACAAGTCTAATTCTGTTGTTAAGTGCTATTGAGTTGGTTCTAACTCATAGTGGCCCCCTATAGGGTTTCTGAGGAGTAGACTGGTTAAGTTTCAATCACTGACCTTAAGGTTCAAACCAAACTTGTGGTCCTGCAGCGCCACACCGGGACTCCTACTAGGGTACATTTTGGTGATTTAAAACCTTATTAAATGTGGTTCCTTCAGTAAGTTTTTCTTTTTGAGAGAGTTCAAACTGACTTTATTTGGATTTTTAAAGGATATTATTTCAACACTTTCAGATAGGAAATATGACCAAGCTAATTCAAGAAATGACAGAAGAAAAACACCTCTGTCCATATTTCCATAAAGAGTTCTGAGTGTGAAATCTCTCAAGGGGGGGGTGAGATGAGGGGACAAAGAGGCCTAGAAATCAGGATTCAACAGGAGCCACTCATTGTTGAGATGTTGTAAGCAGAGTCTTGAGGAATGTTGAGGCCTACACCCTCCCCCCCTTCCTTGGGCAATTGTAAAGATGTACAGGACATGCCCAGGGCCATAGTTGAGTAACCACATCCTGGGACATGCCATTGAGAATACCACCCATAAAAATTCTGTATTCTACTTTTACTTGTGAGAAATTTTTGAGATCAGACTAGTTTACCTAGTGCCTGGGCATACATGTTTGACATCCCAGAATAAGTTTTGTCTACTCCTACCAGAGGTCTTTGCAGTGGAATTCATCTTGAAAAATTCCTGCTCATGCACCAAATTAGCACGTTGTTGTTGTTTTTAAATGCCATCTAGTCGGTTCCGACTAGATGTTATTGTTAAGTGTCATTGGGTCAGTTCTGACCCATAGCGACCCTGTATAGGGTTTCCAAGGAGCTACTGGTGAGCTTGAACCACAGACAGTGTAAGTCAAACTGGCTTTGCAGTCCAGCGCATTAACCCACAGCGCCACACCAGGACTCCAGGAGCCATTTCCTGAAAATCCTCACCTATCCCTTGGAATAAACATGATGTCTTTTCCCTATCCCAAAACCTTTGAAATGTCAGCAAAAGTCTTTGTTTGGGGAGACTGGGTTAAGTGTTGTGTTAAACACTCTCTGTCTCTGCTCATAAGCCTCTTCTCTATAATAAGCCGTTGCACATGTGGAAACCCAGACTCACCTGACTGGTCTTAATCAGTAAGAGGGCGAGAGATGGAGTTGGTATTCACTGTAACAGAACCAGGAGATTGGCAGTCTATGAGCAAGGAACTTTGTGGTGCAGGCAGCAAGAGAGCTGAATGATTTTGGGCAGGAGTTTCTGACCGAGTGGGGTGCCTTTGCCTTTGGGCATTTGCTGGTGAGCTAAAGAGCTTTGTAACATTTCCGTGAGCTGGACAGATGCTGGGCAGTCCAGGAGACCCAAGAGGCAGAGGGCCAAGAAGTGAAGGGCCTAGGAGTGATCTGCCTGTGGTCATGGCCAAGAGGCTGTCCTTACCTAAGAACTATATGCTGAGTCTCTCCTGATCTTGTATTGTAGTCGGTTATCTGGATAACAGGAGTCCTGGTGTGGCACTGAGGGTTAATGCGCTGGACTGCAAGGTCGGTTTGAACAGCAAGGTTGGCAGTTCAAGCTCACCAGCTGCTCATTGGAAATGCTTTACAGGGTTGCTGTGAGTCGGAACCCACTCAAGGGCACTTAACCACAACCTCCCTAATAAACTCCATAATCATATATGAATTATATGTGGCCAATGTAGTGAATGATCAAACGCAGCGAGTAAGAATTGGTTAAAAGGTTGGAGAGTCAGGAGGCATGGCGTCTGACCCCAGCCTCGAACTGGTGCTATTGAGGGTGATTGCCCCTCTTCATGAGGTTAAAAGAGGTCAGGTACATGCACCACAGTATTTTTTATTACTTTCCTGACCATCTTCTCTAAAATGGCACCCCATCCAATCATTCTATTATTTCTTGTTACCCTACTAAAGTTTCATAGCCTGGAGCATGGGAACCAAATCCATCAACTCCCAGTTAAGAGAAAAAGAGTTGTTTTATTAGTAGGTGACACCATCGGGGATTTTGACAGTGACACATGCAGGTTGTCTTTCTGGTGTCCCCCCAATGATCAGAACACATAGAGGTTAAATACTTTTACATGGTATGCTCACTTTGGTGGAGTCACGTATTTTTCCAGGTCCTCCTCATTTACTCAGGTTATTAGTTAGAACAGGGGAAGAAAGGAGTTTCAAGTCTCAGCAAGAAACAAGTCGACCTCATCAATGAGGAGTTTCAGAGAAGGGGGTTGTGGGAGAGAGTAGACTGTTTGTGAGAGAAAATACTGTTAAAAGGGGTAGGTAAGAGGGGAAACTATTGGAAAGAGAAGTAAAGTTAATTGATGATAAGCTGAAACCTGAAAAACAGGATTCAAGGAAAATTTATATGGAGACCAGTTCCTCGGATTGGTTACCTGGGCACTCAATCCATGGCAAAGTAATATATAAAGAAGCCAAATTGTACTCAGGGCTCCACCTCCTCTCCTTTTGTAAGGTAGATGCCCCGTCCCTACCTCTCTGTAAGGATGTCTATGCTAATAAAACTATCTTTCATTTCTCTAAGCCTCTTGTCTTGTTTTTTTTTTTAATGTTTTATTGTGAATTATGTGATAGTTCACATGGGAGAACATTACCTTTACATTCACCCTATCGTATAGTATATCGTATAGTATATATTGTTTCATTGCCATGGTTACAATCCCCTCCATGCATCATCAACCAACCAAAGGGTATACCCTACAAGCCTGCTCCCTCTCCCTCTGCCCACAGCCCCTCTCCCTCTCTGGGTCTAAAGTTCCCAGCTGCTCTCCCTCTCTGGGTCTAAAGTCCCCAGCTGCTCCATCTCTCCATGTCATCATCTCTGCCTCCATCTCTGGTGTCTCCACAGCCCCTCTCCCTCTCTGTGTCTAAAGTCCCCAGCTGCTCCATCTCTCCACATCATCGTCTCTGCCTCCATCTCAGGCATCACTGCTTCTCTGTGTAGGGTCCCGTTCTCTGCTCTTCTCCCTTGATGGTCCCAGGGACCTCCGCTCCTAGACCAAAAAGTGAATCATTCCCCTCCTTGCTATAAAACGTCTACCTTTACATTTCCAACCCTCACAATCAGTCCTGATAACAATTATTCACTATGGTATCACAAGAGACCCGTCTGCATTTCATGAGCCCTGCCCAGATTGGATACTACTCAGTGGAGATTTGACCTTCCTCCGCGCCCTCTGGATCTACTAAGTTTTTCTTGTTCCAGGAGATTTATCATGTGCTGTTGCTGTCAAGTGCCATCGAGTCATTACTGACTCACAGCGACCCTATATAGGGGTCTAAGGAGCGGCTGGTGAGTTTGAACCGCAGATCTTGCAATTCAAACTGACCCTGTGGTCTAGTGCATTATCCTACAGTGCCACATCAGGACTCCTATCATGTGCTAGTCTGATCTTATTTCTACAGTGGAAATTTATTCAAGATGATCTGGATAAACAATTGTTTGAATTTACTTCTTAGCCCAACACAGGAAAAATATAATTCCCCTCATCAATTCTATAAGTCTGTTTTTAGGGGTAAAACATTTTACCTCATCTTCCTTCCCACGCATATGCCAGCTCAAGAATCACTTTCTCAGGGAAGCCTCTCTTGGGACTCTCTGACTAGATCAAATGTCCCTTACTATATACTTAGATGGATTTCTAACGTGACCTTGTAGGATTAGCACCTGATTACGAACCACAAGGTCAGTGATTCAAACCCACCAGTTGCTCCTAGAAAATCCTGTGCCGGGTCAACGGCACTTAACAACAACAATGCTTAGATAGCACATTTTATTTTCCCTCCCCTACTAACAGTTTGGAGTCCTGGTGTGGCTCTGTGGGAGAAATCACAAGACCACAAGGTCCGTTTGAACCACAAGATGTTTACTGAACATAAAAAAGGTAACAAGTAACAGTGACACATGGCTTCAGTGTAGAAAATTCATTTTCTTTATTCACATCATATGACTTTCAGTACATTTTAAAAAGAAAACACAGTTACACCAAAAGTTATATTTTAATTTCATAATAGTCCTCTCCAAATTTTTTACCATTTACTACAAAAGCTTATTATTGTGTCTAATATTATATAGGTTACCAATCTATACTTTTTTGCTTTAAGAGAATAGCTTATAAGGATAGTATATAAAACTAATTGGTATATTACACACCAAACATAAGTACAGATTCTGTACAATGTAATAGTATACATATATATAGTTGTTTTTAAATGCTGTCAAGTCAGTTCTGAGTCATAGTGACCCTGTATAGGGTTTCCGAGAAGCAGCCGGTCGGTTTGAATCACCAAATTTGTGGTTAGCAGTCCAGTGCTTATTCTACAGTGGCATGCCAGGACTCCATAAAGGTAATATATTAATAAATCTTTCATGAAAAAAATCTGTGGCAGAAAATGTTGTTGCTTAAGTATTAGTTGCTTTCCTTTCATACATTTCTTTCAGTAGGTATTAACTGTCCATTTAGTTTTGTTAACAGTTTTACCACGAGTCCAGCCTACAAAGTAAAACACACATTAATAATACATATGAAACATACAAGAATGTGTAAAGGACATACACAGCAATGGTCTTTTGTTGTTAGGTGCCACTGAGTCAGTTCCAACTCACAGTGACCCTGTATAAGGATTCTGAGAAGCAGCTGGTGGGTTTGAACTGCTGACCTCACGGTTAGCAGCCTAGTGCTTAGCCTACAGTGCCAAAACCAGGACTTCAGAGTAATGGGTTGTTGTTAATTGCTGTTGAGTCAATTCTGACCCACAGCGACCCTGCATAGGGTTTCCAAGGAACAGCTGGTGAGCTTGAACCACTGATTTGTGGTTCAAACTGACTGCAGTCCAAAACATTAGCCCACAGCGCCACACCAGGACTCCAGAGTAGTTCTCTATAATTCTGAAAAGGAACTTTCTTATGAAAAAGTAGCTTGCCAAGAAACAGGATAGAAGGAGAAGTACTCCAGTTATCTCCTCAGACTTTTGAAGGGAGTTAACTGATGCAACTCAGATAGGACACTGGTCAAGGAAAAGGGACGATTACTTGATACCCTAATAGGAGAGCCAGGGAATACTGATCAGAATTGCAAGAAAAGGCAGGGAACAACAACAAAAAAACCAGTTGTAAAACAAATTATTTAGATATTTCTATTTTTGCTTGCTTAGGAGAGGTCTGCCTCTTTTCCTTGTTTTTAAATTAATTTAATGCAGTATTAATTACTTTAAAAACAGTAACAACAAAGCAGCTCATTGTCGTCAAGTCTCTCTCAACTCATAGCAATTCTGTAAGACAGAGAACTGTCCCATAGGGTTTCCACATCTATAAACCTTTATGGACGCAGACTGCATCTTCCTCACATAGCATGGATGGTGGGTTCAGACTGCAGACCTTTCGGTTAGCAGCCCTGTGCTTATGGAGCCACCAGGGTTCCTTTTGTTAACTATATTATGTCCCTTTAAATGTAAGATCTTATTTTCCTTAGAAAAAAGAAATAACTTTATCAATATAATAGTTCATTATTACAAGTTCAAAATAATTGATAAGTACTTACCTGTTTTGTGTGTACTATAAAGCTCATCTTATTTTCTATACTTCGTATCTGAAAACATGTATCAGCATCTCCCATATGCCACATAAAACAACCATACTTAAGACTGATGAGTAAAGCCTGAAACATAAGAAAATAATCACTGAAACATCTATTAATAAACAACACCCTTCTCTTCTTATTAGTACTCCACTTATCTAGCCAGACCTGAACATAATGGTTTTGAACATTATCATAAACCCTATTCAAATGTCCATACTCTAGGCTCAAACAGTCTACAGCAGGGAACCACACAGAAGGAAAACTTGCCAAACACTGCCTTGACCAGCGATGCTTTATGTATCAGATGCTTAGCTTACCAGTGACTTTCAGGAAAATTAGGTGTACTACAAGTTTCTACTTTTTCCATGTTAAAAAAGAATCCCCTTTCATTTTTACCTAGTATCTCCCTGTTGAAAATTCACTTAATACTTTCAGTTCTGAAATCTATGCAATAGAGATAACATGTTCATTTACTCAATATTATCTCACTAAAAATTGTTCTTTTGACAGTCTGTAGCACTTTTGATATTCTTCAGCAACAACTATAATTGAAATGTATCAAATATTCTCCGGTCTTTCTTATTCACTGTCCAGTTTTCATATGTATGTGAGGTGACTTAAAATCCTATGGCTTTCATGGACAAGGATACAGCCACCAGGGTTAGAGCTGAGAGTGACCAGTTGATATGAAGTGAGGGGATATGCACAAGGGCTCCTAAACTTTCAGATAGTGCCCACTGGACCTAGCTTTAATGGCTGGATGTTCAGAACCCGACTAGAGGAAGGAAAAGAGGGGGAATTTTTTTTTTTTTTTTTTTAAGAAAACAAGTGTAAATCACTACAATCTGATGAACATGACCTATACTTATGGATGTAGTAGCTGAAAATACGAACCAAGAGGGAAAGAATCTTTACAGTAAGAATCATTCTCATCCCTCCTGTACACAGGATTGATAGGATGGCAACTTAGACATTGGCTACCTAAAATGGGGCGTAAAGGGATGCAGTGACTGGCTTACAAGTTTTCAAGAGGGAGTTTTGATTACAAGTGTGCGGGGGCGGGGGGCAGGTAGAATCCACACTGAGTGGTTTTCATCCTGTCTAGACAGGTCTGGTGAAAGGAGATGGGGATAAGACTCTCATGATTCAATAGTGAATAATTGTTATCATGATTAATTGCGATAGTCACAACTGTAAAGGTAGAAGTTTTGTAGTAAAAAACTGTGAGTGGTGGATCTTACAGTCCTGAGCGGAGGACCCTAGGACCATCAAGGGAGAAGAGAGGGAGCAGAGTGTGGGACCCTACCCAGAGAAGCAGCGACACCAGAGATGGAGGCAGAGATGATGACATGGAGTGGCTGAAGATTCTAGACTCATGGAGGGAGAGGAGATGTGTGCTGGTGGCCAGGGGCAGGGTGTGCCCTTTGGCTGACTGAATGATTGTATATTCCTGAGTGTTTTGGTAAAACAAAAACAAAAACAAAAACAAAAACAACAGAGGGAACAGAAGCAAATACTGTTGAATATGAAGTATGAAGGTGATTGTAATCATGCAATTAAAAGAATATGATAGGATGAGTGTAAAACTGATGTTGCCCCATGTAAAATATCACTCAATTCACAATAAAAACTTAAAAAAAAAAAAAAAAAATCCTATGGCTTGGGTCCACACCTTAGTCCTCAAACTGACATCATTGCTCTTCAACAATTTAAAGAGTTATTTTGCATCACATTTAACCAATGCAATATGTCAGCTGATTTCCGGATTGCTACTTCTATAAGCTTGATTGTATCCAAGTAAAATGAAATCCTTGACAACGTCAATCTTTTTTCTGTTTATCTTGATGTTGATTGGTCCAGTTTTAAGAATTTTTGCTTTCTTTACATTGGGGTGCAATCCATACTGAAGGTTGTTGTCTTTGATCTTCATCACATCAAGTCCTCAGCAAGCAAGGTTATGTCATCTGTTTATCGCAGGTGGTTAATGAGCCATCCTCCAATCCTGATGTCATTCTTCTTCATATAGTCCAGTATCTTGGATTATTAGCACAGTATACAGGTTGAATAAGTATGCTAAAAGGATACAATTCTGACACATATCTTTCCTGATTTTAAACCATTAGATATTCCTACCTCTTAGTCTACATGCAGGTTCCTCATAAGCACAATTAAGTGTTCTGGAATACCCATTCTTTGCAATGTTATCCATAGTTGTTATGGTACACACAGTTAAATTGCTTTTCATAGTCACTAAAGCACTTGGAATCGACTCGACGGCACTTAACAACAACAACGCACTAAAGCTCTGATAGCGTAGTGGTTACAAATCAGGCTGCGAATCTTAAGGTCAGCAGTTGGAAACTACCAGCCGCTCCGTGGGAGAATGATGAGGCTTTCTGCTCCTGGAAAGACTTACAGCCTTGGAAACCCTGTACAGGGTCGCTATGGGTTGGAACCTACTTGACAGTACTTAACAACAACAAAGCACACGTAAACTTCTTTCCGGTAGTCTCTGCTTTCAGTCAAGATCCATCTGATGTCAGCAATGATATCGCTCATTCCATGTCCTCTTCTGAATCCAGCTTTAATTTCTGTGAGTTCCTAGTCGATAAACTGCTGCAACTGTTTTTCAATTATCCTTAACAAACTTTTACTTCTATTTGATATTGATATTGTTTGGCGATTTCCGAATTCTGTTGGGTGACCTTTCTTTGGAATGGGCGCAAACATGGGTCTCAACTAAGACAACTGTGGACATGCTAACTGTTCTTCTTTGGTAAATGGAAAATGCTATCACCTTAGAGCTTTCAAAGGTGCCATACATTTGTTAGTCACTTACAGAGCACAAAGTCATATTTAGATGGACAGAAAACTTTTTACTTTTGGGTTTACTCATCTTATTATATGCCTACAGATAACAATTCTATTTATAATTTCTATTCTAATATCAATTGGCTAGGTAGCTGTCTTCCAAATTTCTTGGCATAGTCCAGTGAGCACCTCCAGCTCGGCATCAATTTGTTGAAACATTTCAATTAATTTTCCATCAATTACTGGAGATTTGCTTTTTGCTATTGCCTTCAGTCCAGCTTGAATGTCTTCCTTCAATACCATCAGTTCTTGAGCAGATGCTACTTTCTGAAATGGTTGCATGTTGACCAGTTCTTTTTGACACAGTGACTCTGTATATTCCTTCCATCTTCTTTTGATTCTTCCTGCATTGTTCAATATTTTGCCCCTAAAATCCTTCAACATTGCAAATATAGGCTTGAATTTTTTCTTCAGTTCTTTCAGCTTGAGAAATGCTGGGTGTGTTCTTCCCTTTTGGTTTCCTAACTCCAGGTTTTTGAACCTTTCATTAAAAATACTTTACTCTGTCTTCTTGAGTTATCCTATGAAAATTTCTGTTCAGCCTTTTATGTCCATATTTCTTCCAGTCACTTTAACTACTCTATGTTCAAGAGCAAGTTTCAGAGTCTCTTCTGACATCCATTTTGGTTCTTTCTTTTCAAGACCTTTTGCTTTCTTCATGTATGATGTTCTTGATGTCATCCCACAATTCTTTTGGTCTGTGGTCATCAGTGTCTAATACATCACATCTGTTATTGAGATGGTCTCTAAATCCAAGTGAGATATACTTAAGGTCACATTTTAGGTTTTGTGGGCTTGTTTCAATTTTCTTCAGTTTCAGCCTAAGCTTGCATATAAGCAATTGATGGTATGATCCACAATCTGCCCCTGGCCTTATTTTGGCTGATGATATTGAACTTCTTCATCGTCTCTTCCACAGATCGAGTCAATTTAATTCTTGTGTACGTTGTCTGGCCAAGTGGATGTGTACAGTGACCACTCACTTTAACATCATAGAATATGCTAAAAGAGTTACTTACTACGGTAAAGACTGAAAACTTAACTCAAGGTATCATAAGAACCTTATACTTACTTATTTTGGATCAATCACTTGAAATTTAATACAAAGCCAGGAAACCTTACATTAATAATGGCCTCAAAACAGTTTAATATATAGAAAATAATAATTTTCTATCACATGGAGGTCACATTTCCAGCAAAAGAACTGAATCCATACACTTAAAAAAAACAAACAATCATTTTAAAGGATAATACACAGTGAGGATTAAATTCCTGAGAGGCTCACAACAATGTAAACAAGGGGTCAAAGAATCCACAGGGTAGTTTTGAATATCATATGCTCCAGAGGAAAAAAGCAGTTCTTGTTACAAGGTAAAATCTCAAAAAGTCAAACCAAATGTATCCCATGAAGAACTTTACACACAATTGAAGATAGTTTTGCAGATGAAGGTGCTTATTCTATTTTAGTAGTCTGTCAAATTCAACCCTAGCAGACAACTAAGACAACTGCGGACAAGCTAACTGTTCTTCTTTGGTAAATGGAAAATGCTATCACCTTAGAGCTTTTAAAGGTGCCATACATTTGTTAGTCACTTACAGAGCACAAGATAGTATTTAGATGGACAGAAAAATTTTTACTTTGGGATTTAATCATCTTATTATATGCCTAAAGATAACATTTCTATTTATAATTTTTAGAAATTACACATTTTATCCTGGAAAACCAGATGGTTAACTATTATGCTATCATTCTTCTACTTTCTATTGCTATCTCACTTATTCAACTCCTATACCAGATTATTATTCATAATATAAAATATTAACATACTACCAGCGATCATTCAGATACTATATGAGATGTCTTATTGTTGCCCAAGTTTAGAATGCTATCAAATGTCAAACAAACTAGAGACAAGGCTGATCACCATATTCATCCAGTTCTATGAAGAAGGTGTAAATGTTGGTGCAAATTTTCTTAGACAGAAGAAAAAAATTCTTGAAATGGTGAGAGTCAACACAAAAGTTGTTATAGGTTAGTAAGAAGCAGTCTGTTTTGTGTATTGAAAATAGTTTTAATAGGAAATAACAAATGACCCAAAGGCATGCTGACATAAGAGGTCTCAAGAAATCAAGTTCCAGGTAAATTACTGAAGTCAGTACCTACTCAGCCTATGTCCCCACACAGTCTTGATTCTATTCACTGGTACATCTAACTGCAGAGTAAAATAACTGTTGCCCACTGTGAAAGTCTTGAGTTATCATGAAATAATGAAACTATGATAGACCTTATGAAGTCTGTGATTATTTATAAAGACTAGAAATGAATGATAATGGAAATTAGATTTATGAGGAAATTTTCTCATTTAAAATGTCTTTTTAATTCATACCATTTATTACTTTAAACGGATTTAGAAAACAGTCTATTCTTAACAAATCCGAATAAACAAAGTTTGATTTTATTGGCTTCCTATGAATTAGAACCACCACCTGTCTGTCAGTTTGTTATACTGTGGTGGCTTGTGTATGAATCTAGGAAAATTGGAATTCATCAAATACAAAATGAGATGCATAAAGATCAATATTCTAGGCATTAGTGAGCTGAAATGGATGGTACTCGCCATTTTGAATCTAACAATTGCATGGTTTACTATGCCGGAAATGACTAAATGGTATTAATTGTCAAAAAGAGCATTTCAAGATCTATCTTAAAGTACAATACTGTCTGTGGTGGGATAATATCCATATACCTATAAGGCAGTTGTCTGAGCAGACCACAGGAACACTGCATGGTTTAAAATTAGGAAAGGTATACACCAAGGTTGTATTCTATCACCATACTTATTCAATCTGTATGCTGAGCAAATAATCTGAGAAGCTGAATTATATGAAGAAAAATGTACCACCAGGACTGGAGGACGACTCATTAACAACCTGCGACATGCAGATGATAAAAACTTGTTTACTGAAAGCCAACAAGACTTATAACTGAACGCCAAGAAGACTTAAAATACTGATGAAGATCAAAGACCACAGTCTTCGGAATGGGTTGTACCCAATGTAAAGAAAATAAAAATCCTTACCACTGGACCAATATACAACAGCCACATAAATGGAGAAAAGACTAAAGTTGTCAAGCACTTAAAAACAAGACTTATTTGTTGCAAATACTTTCTTTTTCAATAACATAAAGGGTCACTATACATGTGAACTTCACCAGATGCAATACATCAAAGAAGTAACAAATCTGTGTTTGACGAAGTCCAGCCAGAATGCTACTGAAAAGCTAGGATGTTGAGACTTCATCTCTCGTTTTTTGGGCATATTATCAGGAGGGACCAGTCCCTAGAGAAAGACATCACGCTTAGACATAGTAAAATGGAGGGCAGGCAAAGAAGATGAAGATCCCCCAACAAGATGGACGGGGACAGTGGCAGCAGCAATGGACTCAAATGTAACAATAATTGTGAGGATGGCGCAGGGCCGGAGAGTGTTTCATTCTGTTGTGCACAGAGTCATTATGAGTCAGAACTGGTTTGAGGGCACCTACCAACAACAACCTCTGTTGGATAAGAGGATGGAATGGAAAAGCTCGATATCATCAGCCAAAACAAAGTCAGGGCAGACTGTGCAACAGACCATCAATCGCTCATAAGCAAGTTCAGGCTGAAGCTAAAAAAAAATTAAAGCAACTCTACCAAGAGCCACAATATAACCTTGAAATTAAAGACCATCGCAAGAACAGATCTGATACATTCGACACTAATGACTAAAGAGAAGGCAAGTTGTGGGATGACATCAAAGAACATCATACATGAGAAAATAAAAGGCTATTAAAGTCAAGAAAGAAAGAAAAGACCAAAATGATGTCAGAAGAGACTCTGGAAGTAGAGAGGCTAAAGTGACTGGAAGAAATGATGAATAAAAAGGTGAATGGAAAATTTCGAAGTGCAGCTTGAAAAGATAAAGTTATAAAACTAAAAGGGTTGAACACTTTCATGATTTCTCAATCTTAAACATCTAAACAAAAAATTTAAGCCTTGACCTGCAATACTGAAGCATTCTTTGGTCAAGGAGTCCTGGTGTGTCACTGTGGGATAGAGCACTGCACTGCAAGGTGGGCTTGAACCATAAGGTCGGCGGTTCAAATTTACCAGCTGCTTCTTGGAAACCCTACAGAGTGGCTATGATTCAGAACAAACTCGGCGGCACTACACAACAACTATGGGCAAAATATTGGTTGCTCTTTAGAAGTGAAGATGGTGAAAATTTTGGGCATGTTGTCAGGAAGGACCAGTCCCTGGAGAAAGAAATCATGTTTCGCAAAGAGGGTGAGTACAAAAGAGGAAGACCCCACCAAGATGGACTAACATAGAGACAGCAATAGTGAGCTCAAGAGTAACAACTGTGAGGTTGGTGCAGGGCTGGGCAGTGGCTCCTGTGATCTGTGGGTCTCTCCGAGTTGGAACTGGCTTGATGCTACCTCACAACAACACAACATAAATCAGACAGCTGTTCATTCCGTTAAAATGCGTTTCACAGGTTAAAATTATTGATGATGATCACCTACTTTATAGTGTATCATAGTAACAAAACTGAGACAGAAAAACCAATGCCTTCTAATATCCACAATCTCCTGTGTACTTCACACTGTCTCACTCCAAAAGACCCTCACTCCAGGGTCTTTGAACTAACTGAATTTTCAAAGTGAAGCTTTGTGTCAGCCATTATACACCCACTCCTCATGGTTAGGTTTCATAGACCAGGTTATTTTGTGAACTGGGTGCTTTGCTGAGTTGGTGGCTGGGCACTATTTTCTGGCAGTAGTGTTTCTGCCTCTCTCCCCTCCATCACTGGTCATTCACCATCCTTTGTGCCACCATCATGGAGCCTGTGGGGATTGAGGGGTGGGGGAGAGGTGGTGGCCAGTTATTTATTATATGCTGTTTGCCGCACCTCCTGACATCACAACCCAGCACTGCCTCTCCCTAGTCTTCACCTTCTTACTTTCCCTCATCATTCTTCCTTGCACTTTTGGGTCCTTGCCTGGCCTCCCACTGCATGCCCATGACCTCATGTTGTACTGCCTTACACAGACAAATGGGAGGTGTCCCATGGCAAGTTGGCCACCATCACTTGAGTGGTCTGGTCATCACTGGAGTCTCTGGTATATCATTTGGGATGGCCTGTGGAGGGTTCCCAGGCCTGGCTCACTGGAAGTATGGTTTGAAATTTTTTTCAGAAATTTTCAAAGTTGGACAATGTCAGGTAATGAAATAGTTGATGAGTGAGTAGTAGGTGATTTCTTTTTTATCTCTTTTTTTTCAACTTTTCAAAATATAGTAATATAGTCACATAGTTAAAAATGTTTTATAGTTGTACAATATGATGAACATAGTAATATAGTTAAAAATGTTTAATAGTTGTACAATATGATGAACATAATCAATGTTTATTAATTATACATGTAAAAATTGTTGAATCAGCATATTTATATTTTTATCACAATAAAAATATTTTTGTTATAAAATGGTATGCAGTGAGAAAGTCTCCTTCCTACTCCTGTTACTAGTTACCGTCTTCCCTTTTATAAAGTCTTCAAGAGATTTTTCATCCCTACCTTCCATTTTCATATGAATGACAACAAATTACATATGGGCGGGGGGGGCTTCAAAAAATTCATGGAAAATGGAACTGAGATAATGGAATTTTTCCACACTTTTTGAAGTCTCTCACATGGTTTAGCAACTTGCTTTTTCACTAAATATTTTTGAATATCATTCTACACATAAAAATTATTTTTTCTTAATATGGCTGCACAGTATCCAAAATAGAAATGTATAATTAGTATTCTAATTGCTACTGACAATCATTTCATGTCCCCCAATATTTTGCTATTATAAATGAAGTTGCAATGAATAATCTTGTATATATATCATTTCTAGATTTTTCATACAGTGAGCAATGCTATTTTAGATATTAAATGGTGTCACTGGTGAAAGAGCTTAAATTTTACCTTTGTTTCCATGTTGAGGAGATGGAGTCCTTTTATATTCACTCCTACATACACAGGAATGACTTTATGATTGCTGGGGCTTGCTTTCGTAAATATCTGCCCTGTAAAAAAAGCTGCTCCATATGTAGGAATTTCCCAGCAATTCTGTAAGAACATGCGCTGAAGATGATGCATTTCTTTACTGATACCCTCACTTGAACTAAGATTCTAAAAACAAGTAAAGCAAAATACAGAGATATGAGAGAAAGGATAATGTATGTTTGATAACATAAATAGGTCAACAAAGGTCAACAAAGCAATTTCTCAAAATCAAGACTGGCCTTAAGGGAAGAATAAAATTGACTGACATTATTTTGAGAGTATTTTTCCTTTTGAGATTTCAATATAGAAGAAAAAAAAAAAAAAAAAAAGAAACATTGAAGTCTTAAAAACATTGCTGTCTATCTATTCTATTAGGTTGTAAGCACCTCATGGACGGTTAGACTATTACTATTATTCTTTTAAATCTCTAGATGTTACTTACCAACAAGTCAAAAGCACCCCTAATACAGTCAGGTTCGATTCTGACTCATGGTGACCCCAGGTGTTTCAGAGGAGAATTGCACTACAGGGTTTTCAATGTATGCAGCACATGGATGTACCCAGTAAATGGTGCCTAAAAAGTTTCAACATTATTAAAAATATCTTGTAACTTTTAGTTACAGGAATGTGACTTGGAAGATCTAGTTTTAATTTTGGGAGTATAAATTTTATCTCTATCTATCTATCTATCTATCTTATTAAGTGCTGTCAAGTTGGTTTTGACTCAGAGCGACCCTGTACAGGGTTTCTGAAAAGTGGGTAATGAGCCTGAACTGCTGACCCTGCGGTTCAAACCGACCTTGAAGTCTAGTGCATTAACCCAAAGAGCCACACCAGGGCACACACACACACACAAATACATGTATGTATGTATTTAAACATATTAATAACAGTAAAAACCTTCCAGAAGGCTATAAAATGCCTTTTTATTTCTATCAAGCACCTTACCTTATACTCATGAAGTATCCGGTTTGTCCAGTGAGGTGCTTTACTTTTCAATTTAGTGATAGGGACAATAGATTTCAGATTTTCTTCACTGTAAGCACACATGCAAACATCCATTAACTAAATCAGCTTTAGTACAATGATCATTCAGTCACAACTGGTCTTAAGTGTGTAATATGAATTTCAAGCTGAAAAATACTAAGTTGCAGAATATCAGAGAACTCTAAAAATTTTAAGACAAAAGCCACAATTACAATATCACTTCAGAGAAATGTTTCTTTAATCAATAATCACAGAGTATTTTTTAAAATTGTAAATCACAGTAAACAAACTTTTGCTGTGCTAAAACCTTTGTGTTTTCTTTCAAGGACTAAACATAAAACTCTTTTATTGTGTTATTCTTAAGTTCATATGCCTTATAATATTTTTCTACTACCTAATGAAGTCAACTTTTAGTGAATTTATTTAAACATACAGTACAGACAAATTATACTCAAATATAAAAACAAAAAAACTTTCAGGACACTATTAGCTTTAGGAATGCTTTTCTGTAGTAAGTTCTTTTCTTATTCTATACTTCATATTATTAATTTCAAACCAATTTACACATACTTAACATTTTTAAAACGCTCTTGGTTGAACAGAATTTTTCTTGAGCATGCATAAGATTACATATTGTATTAAAGACTTACTTTAAGAAACCTTGCTTGTGTTTCTTACTCTCATAATTTCCATAAACTATTTGTAACAGCAGACTTGCCAATGTTATCACTTTAGCATCAGGAGCTGTATAAAAGCCCTTCAATAAATTATATCTGGCTTCATCAAACAGAATAAGAATAGCTAGTGGGTCTTCAATCTTAAAAGAAAAAGTATAATTTGAGTATTAGGGTACAAATTCCTATTGCAAATGTGCAAACTGTCATTGTCTAATATGAAAAGCTACACATTTGTATATAAATAAGCTGTTTATTTAGCTTTAGAGCAGGAGTTTGCAAATTTTTTCTGTGAAAAGTCACATAGTAACATTTTAAGTTTGTGAGCCATACAAATCTCTATTCCAACTATTTTATTTTGCCATCTTAACACAAAAAGTAATCAATAATACATGCGTGTGGAGGTATTCTGATAAAACTTCACAGATAACAGAAATAGAATTTCATCTAATTTTTAAAATAATGAAATATTACTCTTTTGATTTTTTTTCAATCATTAAAATAATTAAAATCCCAGTCTTGGCATGCAGGATAATAAAAGATAAACAGCAGGACATATATGACCACAGGCCATAGTTTGTTAACCACGGATTTAAAATTTAATAATCATCATCAGTTTACGGACACAGATAATACCTGTACAATTTTACCTAAATGCTTTAAATTCTTGAAACATTTATCTATCACCTATGCTTCATACAATATTAGTGAATCTCAAAAAGGAGAAAATGAAATATGTTAATTCCCATAAAGGTACATAAAGTTAAAAAAGTTTGGTTTAAAATATTTTTACTTAATTAAAGATTTTTAAAAGTTATTAATACAAAGTTCTACTTTTCTCAGTAAAGATGAACAAAGATTGAGAAAAGTTAGCCTAGAAAATACATTTGTACTTGGAAGTAATAATTAATTACAAAGTTTCTAAATGAATATTTAAAGTACTTCCAAATTTAATTCACAGTGATACCAATTATTTACGGTAAAAACGATTTTGACAAACTAGGTAAAATAATTCTATTTTTTCTATCTTATAATACACTATATAATATAAAATAACTGGAATAAAACTTCACTAAAGAGAAAATGATTGTGAGATTATTCATGATTAAAGGAGATTAAAGTAATAACAAGTAAATATAGTATGTGAACCTTAACTAGATCCTATGAAGAAGAGCTGAAATATACAAAATACTTTTTGACGTAATTGGGGAAAATATGAATTTCAATCAGGTATTACACGTTATTATGGAAAAATTAATTTTATTTTGTTGAAAACGGTCTGTAGTCTGTAGGGATGAAGTGCCATGTTTGCAACTCACTTTTAAATAGTTCACAAAGGATAAAAGGAAGCAAATACACCAAAATGTTAATAATTACTATATCTAATGACTGGTATACAGACTGGACTGTATTACCCTTTAAACTTTCCCTTGGACTTTACATTTTAAAAAACAAAATGTTGAGACAAAGAGTGAATGTAAGCATATTTTTCTAATATAAATAGAATAGTAAATTTGAAGAGTTTGAAAAGATATAACAGTTGTAATACTGAATATTGCGTTCAGTGAGTATCAGCAACAATTGTTCTTTTCTAATGAAATCAGACTGTTTTCATCCTATAAGAATTTCCAATACCAATTAACAAATACAAATCTATCTTTCAGACTGTACAAATAGGAACTTCTTAATTATACAGTGAGTGAAAAAATGCTATTTTACAATATGATCATGAAATTCTGATTTACCTTAAAAACTTACTAAGCCTTGTTTTCTTTTTCATTTGCATTATGCTTTTTAGTATTTATAGTGGTTCCTTTATACTACCAGTCAATTAAAAAACTATAACTTGGGCACAAAAGAAAGGCAGACTGAGTATACTTAAAACATTTGGAGATTTCATGTTGCTCAATATACCTTTTTTGAATAATCAAGACCTTAGTTTTCAGTAAATGTCATACAAATCTCTATGTAACTTCTAGTATGTTAGGCTATATGGATCAAATCTATCTTCTCTGATAATATAAGAGGGATAATATAAGTAGGGTAAAAAACACTTTAGCAAGTTTGGACATGGCCTGCGTAGTTTTCATGAGTTGAAAATTGCTTAATCGTGTATATTTAATTTTCTCTTGAATAAAGAATTAGGAAATGCATTGAATTTTTTTGTTGTAGTTCACCAAAGTTCTGAGACAATGTTTGCAGCTACAATGTTTGTAGTTAGATTCTAGATTATTTTGTAGTCTCTCAGATTTTTCCACAGTCCATGTATCCTATCCTCACCTTTCTTCTAAAATCTATGGTAGTTCAATTCCAAGCACACTGTCTAACAAGCAGATGTTTTTATGACATATAAACACTATGTTCACTTTTTTTTTAACTGTGCTTCAAACTTGCTGACTATTGAGAATAACCTTCTTATGCCAAGTTTGTATATAATCTTCACCAAAAAAAATCTTTCATGTTGACCCTTAACAGCAATGTATCTCTTTCCTCCTTCAAAATTCATATACCTATTTCTTCCTAAGTATATGTTTGACATTTAATAATATGAGGGAGCTTGAACAAGTTGACAGAAAAATTCTGTTATTTAAAATCCCATTTTTCCACAAACTTTTCAAGAAATGGGATATATATATATATATATAACTAGTATACACTTAATTAACCTGCAAATATGTTTATGAGACATATACAAATGTACAATTCCTCTTTTCTAACTACTATAAGTTTTTTTTTTTTCCTTTCTATGTAACTTGTTTCCCCATCTGGTTACTAGTGTTCATTAGTATAGTTTCTCTATTTCTTCTGTATTCTTAACACAATGGGGATGGTAATGAGAAAACATAAGAACTTCTCAAACTCTACCACTTACTAAAAGGGTATGATGGCAGAATAGAAAAACAAATAAAAACCCTTAGGACAGAAAGAACAAAATAAATGTTAATTTGCTTTCTTTTATGCCTCTAGTACCTACAGTAAGAACTTAATAGATACTGTGCATTTAAATGACTATAAATAAGATTTCCAAGCAAACCTTTTTTTCAACTTCTAAAGGAAGTCTCACATCTCTTCTTAGGAAAAGCTGTGGTGTTTCCCTTTGGGGATCCAAATTAGTTAATTCAGCAAGTATTTCTGGCCAGTCACGAACATGTTGCAAGGGTTTATGATAAGGCTTGAGCTGAAGGCCTGCAAAACATCTTTCCCTTTATAAATGATAGTATAAAAACAATTCAATCGCATCAATGCACAGAAATCTTATATTAAATCCTCTGCACTTACACATAAATTAAAGGTATAAATGTAAATCAACATTAATTTTGATTATAACTACTACCAAATCTGGAGTTCTGGTGTGACACTGTAGGATAAGCACTGAACTGTAAGGTTGACGGTTCAAACCCACCAGCTAATTCTCAGAAACTCTATACAGGGTCACTATGAGATGGGAACCAATTCGATGACACCTAACAGCAAGAACAACTACCCAATCTGAGGTTTACAACTTTTGGTTTTAAGAATATAATAATAATTCTTAAATAAAACTGATATCACAGACACACACACACACACACACACAGACACACATAAGATCTTTCATTTAATTGTAGTCCATTTAATTATAATATAATCAGTAGAATTTGTGGTTTTGTTTTAAAAAATACAATTAAACCATTGTAAGACAACCAATCATAACAATCTCAATTGAATTATAAAGTGTTTGAAATATTTTGTCTTGAGAGAAAAATCTAAAACAAAAGAATGATTTTAAATAAAAAAAATAATACAAGAGAGCTTTTAAAAATTTGTGGAAAAATGCCATTATCTTTTAATTCCATTTTTCAACAGATTTTTGAAGCCCACTTCGCCCCCTATAAAAGGTAAAAGGATATTTGCGTTATTTTGAGGTGAAGTGAGCACTGAAATAAAAGCACATTGTAAAAGTGCCCACTTGTTGTTGTTAAAGTGCCATAGCGACCCTGTACAGGGTTTCCGAGGAGCAGCCAGTGAGCTTGAATTGCCGACCTTGCAGTACAAACGACTTTGCAGTCTAACACATTAACCCAGAGCGCCGCACCAGGACTCCAAAAGTACCCCCTAACGGCATTCAAATCAAATGCCATTGCCAGAGAACACAAGTTTTAGCGTAGTGGTTACAAGTTGGGCTGCTAATCTCAAGGTCAGCAGTTCGAAACGACAAGAGATTCCACGGGAGAAAGATGAGGCTTTCTGCTCCCATAAAGATTTACAGTCTCAGAAATCCTATACAGGGTCGCTATGAGTTAGAATCGACTCCACGGCACATAACCGCCACCCACCACTAAGTGAGAGTCTAAAATCAGAGGCACTTGGTATGTATAATGAGCGCACCTGAGAGTGGAAAGTTCACTCCATTTTAGTCCTGACATAAGTACAGAATCCACGGGGAATTTTAAAGTTGTCTTTTCTAACAGCAATTCTGCTAACCTTGAAGTTAACCTAATCATATACCCTAAAGAAGATTTTTCTTTTTCTTTTGAGGTCTGACAGGTGCAGATACCACAATCTATCCCAAAAGGGTTTTCCACTGTGGTCAGACAGATGCAAGATGTGATAGCTTATAATTGAAAGGTCTTGCTTGATGCACAGCATTTTCAATCAATCTTTATAACGGGCCCCCAGAAGCATACATGGTTGAGATTGCAATTTCAACAGCAGGTTAGCAGAAAAATCAGTCCTGCCATTGTCCTGTGACCATTCTGCAATAAACTGAAGAGCATGTAAGCTTGCAGTTATGTGCCTTTCAGCAATCATGTAACCCCACGTAGACCTAATGAAGTTTGTGAAAATTACATTCTTTTAATTCAACTTTTTCATGAACTTTTTGAAGCCCCTTTGCATGTTATTCACTTATGCCTGTCATATTTCTGCTCTCAGATACTCTACCTTTGACTCCTTTGGTTGTCTTTCAGCCAATTATGATTTTGTAACTTTAGTTCCTACACTACATATACAAAATGTTTTCTTCCTCACTGTTCAGCAGAAGCATCTTCATTCTGTGTATTTGGATGTCTTTCTGGTCTGGACCATCTCTGGACTTTGAGTAACTCTCTTAATTTTATTTTTACAGAGTATGTGTTTTCACTCTAGGATACTACTTAAAACATGCTTTAAGGCTACTTGGTTATATATAAACTTATAGTGAATTGATATGGAATGAAGAATAAATGAGCTATGTCCATTGCCTCAAGGATCAGCTATATGGGGTTCTTACAAGCTTACTTATCAAACTAAAGGAGAATAAATAATAATACAATAAAAATGTCCATTGTGGTTATGTGGCAGCATCAGTAAATAGTTCCTGTAATAAGACTATTTTGTCATTGAAAACAGAAGATTCTGCCCCCAGCAGTATAATACCCCATTAAAATATATCCCTCAAACACTGTGCATATTTTTATTACTAAAAAACCTCCCCATATTTATAGACAGAAAAAAAAAAATCCACCCATAATAATCACTGTGGAAAAAACCCAACTTCAAACAGGAGTTACAGGTCACAAATCACTATACTTTTTCAAAAGCCCAATAAAAATGGAAAACTTAACAACAAACCAGATTTACTGTACTGATTGAGATGGGAGGAGTCCCCATGACTACTTTAAAATTTCAACTGAAATGGAAGGATTCTTCATATCAAGGTAACAAGCTTGTTTCCTCAGTACACTGGGCTAATAGGGACAGGCAATCTAGACATTGGCTACCATAAAAGGGGGACTATAAAGGAGCTCTGGTAGCGTAGTGGTTACGAATCGGGCTGCGAACCTTAAGGTCAGCAGTTCGAAACTACCAGCCGCTCCGCGGGAGAAAGATGAGGCTTTCTACTCCTGTAAAGATTTACACCCTCGGAAACCCTGTACAGGGTCGCTATGGGTCGGAACCGACTCAACGGCACTTAACATAACATAAAGGCACAAAGAAGCTGGCTTATAAGCTTTCCTGTATGTGCTTAGTTTCTGAAAGAGGGGAATAAGGTTGAATTCTTTTCCAGATGGATTTGGTGAAAGAGGAAGAGGGATAATGATGATAGCATTTTATGATTCAATTGTGAGTCACTGTTAGCAGGATTAACTGTGATTGTCACAGCTGTAATTGCAGAAGATATATAACTAAAAGGGGGGTGTAGTTAATGTTTCATTCAGGAACAGAGGATCCCAGGACTATCAAGAAGGAAGAGCATGAGTAGAATGTGAGATCCTACTTACAAAGGTGGTGAGAGCAGGGAGAGTGGCAGAGGTGATGGCATGGGGAAACAGAGCAGCTGCAGGCTCTAGGCCTATGGACTGAGTAAGGCTGTGTGTCTTCAGGCAGGAGGCAGACTTGCAGAATGTGCCTTTAGGACATTTAAGTGAATATATATTTCTGTTTTGTATGCATACATAAAAATTTTTTGCTTTGTTCATTTGTGAAATGTAAGATGTAAGAGAAAAGCCACAGGGAGGAAGTGGGATAACTGCTGTTGTAGGGAGGGGATTGGAATCATTGAGATGAAACCAAGTACATAATTTGTTGAATGTAAAACTGATGATCTTGACTGTAAACCTTCACTCAATTCATAATTAGCAGTTGAAACAAAACAAAACAAAAACCCCACCACTGAATCAAAACTACCTCCTGAGGCCACTTTTTCACTAAATTAGAAACTGGTTCACAAAATACAGATTATCACACATGAATATAGTGTTCCTTTAAAATAATTCATCTATATGAAGTCATATGCTTAACAATAACATTAAAACAAACATGAGAATGTAAGCAGGCAGGAAAACAAGATAAATGAAAATAGACCAAAGCAGAAATACTGAAAAATTTCAGAATTGTGAAGAATGCAACCAATGTCACTGAACAATTTGTGCTGAATGAGGATATATGTAACTGTTGTACAAATCTTCAATAACCTAATAAAATATTAGTTCAAAATATAATACTGCCTTTGCATCAATCATTATTTTACTAAGAAAGTTATTTTAAATCAAGATTGTGATACACATTAACTTCTGTACAATTTCTCAGAAAATGCAATTAAGTGTTCTCAGTTAAATATTCCTATTATTGGCTTTTGTTTTAAAGACTGTTGAACTCAATAGTCATTCTATTTTTCAGAATAATAAAAATATAGAAAAGACATGGATAATACAGTATAACAAAACAAAATAAAAAATTTAATGTTTTATAGATTTCATATGTCTACTGCTACTTAGAAACATCAAAAACATTTTCAAATGAAATACTTTCTGGAATCGACGATATGAAACCAAAAGGGGAGCATCTGCCCAGAAACAAAGCTCAGAAGGCATGAAGGGGCAGGAAAGAAGAATGAATGGATATGAGGCACCCAAAAGAGTATTGTTAACTTGAGGAGATCACAACCAATGTCAAGAAACAAAATTCATAATTTGCTCTGTAATCTCTCACCCAAACTAAAATAAAAAGTAAAAATAAATAAACAAAATATCCTCTGAAACTGGTTTGAATGTAGCAGCCTGAGGGCCCACAATTTTTACCTGTTTCAGCAATTTGGAAAACTGTAATTTATATAAAAATATTACATTATTAAAAATTTAAGTCAACAATAAACATGCTGTACTTAAGCTTACCATTCTGCTCTAGAAAAGAAATAATGAGGTTTATACAGTAAAACTTGCAAAAACCAGAACCAGTGTAAGGTAGAAACCTGACAGAAGGAAAACTCAAATATTTTCCATTAAGATGAGCAACAATAAAGTGGTTCAAGAATGCACTCTGCCAAAAGCAAAAAAACTTGCAAGTTTCAGAAAAAAAAAGGCAGTCTCTGGAGTTCTGGCTTTCACATGTTTCACTGTACAACAGAATAAAATCTCTCTTACTGAGGTTTTCTGAACAGATCCAAATAGTGAAGTATTGTTGTGTTTCTTGAGAAAGACGCATTCCTTCCATAATCTGTTGCACTGTTGTATTATTTCCATGTTTCAGCTCAACAGAACGGTATGATCCATCCATTCTGTATATTCGAACTTTTTCATACTAGGACAAAGAAAGATCATAAATGATACAACCTACTTAGCAATGAATTCTTTGTTCCAAGCTAACAAGATATTTTAATTTCAATTTCATATTCTTTATTATAGATTTTTAATTTATGTATAAATGTATCATCGAGTCAGTTGCAAATCATAGCAACACAGTAAAGGGTTTCCAAGGCTGTAAATCTTTATGGGAACAGTAAACCTCATCTGGTAGATTAAAACTGCTAACCTTGCAGTTAGCAGACCAATTTGTAAGCCATTACGCCACCAGGGCTCCCTTTAGTTTTCTAAACTAATCAGAAAACTCTCAAGTGAGAATCTGCTGACAATATTAAAAAATAATAAAACATTTTATTTCCATTATTTGGAATTTCTATGACGTGCTCCTTTGGATCGTCCATGGAAATACAATGAAGTTTAACAATAAGGTTGATAAAAGCTGTAAAGACTTATCCATCCATCTATTCATCCTTTTACAGTTGCCACAGATTCTCAAATTACTTATCGATATAAATACCATGGTTGGCACTAACTATTTATGAAGATAATTCTTACTGGTTTATTAATGGCTTCCTTTAATAATTTTACAGTTTCTTCCCAGTGATTTTGTTTATTTTCTTCACAAATATTCAATGGGGATCTTCCTTGTTGGTCTGTTATGTGCTAAAAATGTGAAAGAAAGAAAAAGAAATTACAAATATGGTATTACAAGGGAAAATGTCATTTAATCAGTTTCATAAAAAAGAAACTCTTGCTCAGTATTAAATAAACATTAACCATATAACAACAACATACTTAGTGCATTCTTTTTGTTGTTAGGTACCATCGGAATAGATGCTGACTCATAACAACCCTATATATACAGTGTGACGAAACATTGCCCTGTGCTGCGCCATCCTCACAACTGTTGCTATTTTTAAGCCCACTATTGCTGCCACTATGTCAACCCATCTCACCGGGAGTCATTCTCTTTTTCATTGACCCTCCACTTCACCAAATATGATGTTCTCCAAGGACTGGTCCTTCCTGACACATGTCCAAAGTATGAGACAGAAAATCTTGCCATCCTCAATTCTAAGAAGTAATCCAGCCATACTTCTTCCAAGACAGATTTGTTTGCTCTTCTGGCAGTCCACGGTACTTTTAATATTCTTCTCCAACATCATAATTCAAATGCATTGATTCTTCTCCAGTCTTCCCTATTCACTGCCCAGCATGCACATGAGGCAACTGGAAATACTGTGGCATGTGCCAGTCACACTTTAATCCTCAAAGTGACATCTTTGCTCTTAGCACTTTAAAGAGGTCTTGTGCAGATTTGCCTAATACAATCCATCATTTGATTTCTTGACTGCTGCTTCCATGCATTTATTGTGAATCATAGTAAAATAAAATCTTTGACAACTTCAACAATCTTTTCTCAGTTTATCATGACACTATTCACTGGTTCAGTTGTAGGAATTTTTGTTTCCTTTACATTGAGGTGTAATACATATTGAAGACTATAGTCTTTGATTTTCATCAGTGTATCATTTGCATATCATAGGTTGTTACTGAGTCTTCCTCCAATCTTGATGTCATGTTCTAACTTCATGTAATTCAGCTTCTCAGAGTATTTGCTCAGCAGACAGACTGAATAAGTATGGTGAAAGGATGTACACATTTCCTGATTTTAAACCATGCAGTATCTCTTTGTTCTGCTCTAACGACTGCTTTTATGTACAGGTTCCTCATGAGTAAAACTAAGTATTCTGGAATTCTCATTCTTTGCAATGTTATCTATAATTTGTTAGTATCTACATAGGTAAACACCTTTCCATAGCAATACAACACAAGTAAATATCTTTTTGGTATTCTCTGCTTTCAGCCAAGATTCGTGTGATGTCAGCAAAGATATCCCTAGCTCCATCTCCTCTTTTGAATCTGGCTTGAATTTCTGGCAGGTCCCTGTTAATACACTGATACAACTGTTATTGAATTATCTCCAACAAAAATTTCAGTTGATGTGTTATCAAGGATATTTTTCTATGATTTCCACATTCCTTTGGAATGAGCACAAATATGGATCTCTTTGAATTGGTTGATTAGGTAGCTGTCTTCCAATTTCTTAGCACAGACTAATGAATGATTTAGGAGTGCATAAGCTTGTTAAAACATTTCAGTAGGTAGACCATCAATTCCTGGAACCTTGCTTTTGTCCAATATCTTCAGTGTAGATTATACTTCTTCCTTCAGTACCATCATCAGCTCTTGATTATATGCTACCTCTTGAAATTTTGACCACTGATCAATTCTTTTTGGTACAGTGATTGCATATTCCTTCCATTTTCTTTTGATGCTTCCTGCATCATTCAATATTTTGCCCTGAGAATCCATCAATATTGCAACTTGAGGCTTGAATTCTTTTCTTTAGTTCTTTCAGCTTGAGAAATGCTTAACATGTTCTTCCCTTTTGGTTTTCTAACTCTAGGTGTTTATATAATCATAAAATTTTGTATTTTCAAGCTGCCCTTTGAAATTTTCTATTCAGCTCTTTTAATTTGTCATGTCTAAAGCTCTGGTAGTGTAGTGGTTACAAATCAGGCTGCTAACCTCAAGGTCAGAAGTTTGAAACTACCAGTGGTTCCGCAGGAGAAAGATGAGGCATTCTGCTTCGGTAAACATTTACAGCCTCGGAAACCCTGTGCAGGGTGTCACTATGAGTTGGAACCAACTCCACAGTACTTAACAACAACAAGTCATGTTAGCTTATCTACACTCAAGAGCAAGTTTCAGAGTCTCTTCTGACATCCATTTTAGTCTTTCCCTCTAGTGACTAATGCCTCAATTCTGTTATTGAAATGGTCTCTAAATTCAGGTGGGATATACTCAAGGTCATATTTTGGCTCCTGTGGACTCGTTTTAATTTTCTTCAGTTTCAATCTGAATTTGTAATATGGGCAATTGGTGTGTTCCACACTTGACCACTGGCCTTGTTTTGGCTCGTGATATTGAATTTCTCCACAATATCTTTTTACAAGTGTAGTCAATTTGATTCCTGTGTATTCCATCTGGTGGGTTCCACATTCCAAATACCTTTATGTTGCTGAAAAAGGTATTTGCGATGAATAAACCATTAATCTTGTAAAATTCTACCATGCAATCACCAGCCGTTTCTTCACCAACACTGTTTTTCCAAATATTGATCCTTCCTTTTTTCTTCCAACTTTCACCATCAGATTGTCAGTAGTTAGCAGTGCACCTTAATTGCATGCTTGATGAATTTCAGACTGAAGAAGTTGGTCGTTGCTGTTAAGTGCTACAGAGTTCTTTTAAGTGTTGTTGCTTTTAAGTGCTATAGAGTTCTGTTATGACTCATAGTGACCCTGTATTGGGGTTCTGAGGAGCAGCTCCTAGTGGGTTTGAACTGTCAACCTTGTGGTTCATAGTCCAGTGCTGATCCTACAGTGCCACGATTCTTCAATTTCTTCATCATTGGCCTTAGTGGTTTGTGCATGAATTTTACATAACTGGTCTTAACTGGTCTTCCTTACAGGCATATGGTTATTATCCTATCACAAACAGCATTACACTTCAAGAAAGATATTGAAATGTTTTTTTTGATGGCAAATGTCATGCCACTCGTCTTCAATTTTCCATTTCCTGCATAGTAAATCATGTGATTGTTTGATTCAAAGTGGCCACTACCAGTCCATTTCAGCTCACCAATTCCTATTATATACTATATAATAAACATAAATTCTCAAAGATCATAAATTCAAAGCAATAATCAATGGTATTCTTAATTGTTCTAATTTTATATACAACACAGATTCTGTTAATGTTACAGCTTTTCCCTTTATAAAACACTTATCAAAAACATTTTAGAAGTTAAGTAGAAAATTTTCCTTTTTAACATATTATGGAGGAAACACAAAACAAGTACTGGTTAAATTTTTGTGCAAAACCAAAGCTTACACAAAAATTGTTGTTCATAGGTTCCGTGAGTCGGTTCAGACTTACAGTGACCCTGTACAGGTTTCCAAGGCTATAAGGTTTTACAGGGGCAGAAAGCCTCACCTCCCACAGAGTAGCTGGTGGGTTTGAACTGCCAATCTGTGTTTAGCAGTCCAACACTTATCCTAAAGCACCACAAGTGTTCCTTGTAAATAAATATTAGTTATTTTATATAGTAAATGAGTTTTTAATTTTTAGTTGAGTTCTCAAGTATATTATTAAACATTTTACTGTCATTACGTGCTATTTACTTGACCATTAAAAACAACAAAAACACCTGGAAAATAACTTACTCTGTCAACTTCTGGATGATTTAGAAGAATCTGCACTATTTCAGCATGTCCTCCTCCAGCAGCGAAATGAAGAGGAGAACTAAGCTGTCCATTTAAGAGGTTTGGATTGCACTTTCCTTTCTCTAGCAATATGCGAGTGGCCTCAACTTTTCCATACCTTCAAACAAGTAAAACATAATTCAAAAAGTCAACTGAAATGTTTTTAAAAAATCCAGATTTTAGATGACACCCCAAAGATTTAAGATTTTTCTAGGGCAGAGATTAAGGGATTAACACACTGACATAATATTTTCAGTGCCTAAGGATTTCTTCTGAATAATTCTGGCTCAGATCAAATGGGAAAAATACAACCTCAAATATAAGTTAAAAGCAGATGACAGAGAAGCACTCTGCAATGTCAGGCACAAAAATTATAAATAAGGAAGATAAAATTTTTAATGAAAAATCAGGTCAAACCAGAAATTAAGTTGCAGACAAACGTATTAAGAATGTTTTATTTAGTCTTGAAAGTCATTTTCAAAATAGCCCTCAAAGCAGAATTTTATCTGTAGCTGCCATATTAGGCAATATGTAAGACACAAAGATACCTATATAAGTGTAGGGTCCCAGCTCTGATAGTTGAGTCAGATGGTCCAAATAAAAACATGTGGTTTGTTAAATAATGCTATAAAATTTAAGTAATGGTTTAGAATAGTAATAAAAAAGATAAGGCAATACATTATTATCATCAAAATGGTAATCATTAAAGCTTAAAAAAATCAGAAAGAGAGATATAACATCAGCCTAAAATGGTTCTAAAAAGTGTTTTATAGAAGAATCTGAAGTGGATTTTAAATAGGAAGTGACTGAAAAGAGGTAGAATACTTCAGGTAGGCATAAAAGGAGTAAGCAAAAGCCAAGTACCAGCAAGAGTACAAAGTAAGTGGCAGACATAGTGAGCCAACCAAAGACATGGAATGCAGCAATCCGAAGCAATGGTGGAAAAGCAGTTCACTGTTTGAAAATGAGTGGGTACCTGGGAAGAGGACAGATCCTGTTTTTTCGCTTAATGCCTTGAATTTGCTATTTATAGACTATCCTTTGTTTATGTGATTGTCTTAGCTCATGTTCTTTGTTATTCTTAACATGATCTTTTCCCCAACCTCAATTTTTCAGGAGAAATAATTTTAGCAATTTTATTTTAACTTCTTTCATGGGACCTATCTCATTTTATCTATTTTCACCATTATATATAGACCCTAGAAATCACTGAAGGTACGGTATCTTTACATTCTTCAAAGTGCCATACACACAAAAAAGGAATAACTAACTGTTCATTAGACAATTAGAAATGTAATAAGAAACTTAAAAATATCAAACTCATCTAACTGAAAATAAGCACTGTAAAGGCTGGAAGAAATTATTAATTAATATAAATATTATGTATGATGCTAGCTAGAGTTATAATCCAGTTTTCTGAGTCTTAGTGTAGCAGTGTCTAAACTAAGTCATATATGTGGATCACAAAAATTATCATCATAATAAAAATATCTTGCATTTTGTACTGATACTCATTGTAATTCTTCCATTATGTTCAACTTCAATTTGTTCTTAGAAGGAAGGCAGGTGGTCAACAGTATTAAATGCTACAGAGCAAGGAAAGAGATTAGAAACTCAGAAAAGGTTAAGAAGACTCATGATGAGTAAAAAGAAAATCAAGTGTGGACCATTCATCTTGGAAAGAAGGGAAAAATAAGATAGTAGCTAGATGAGGAAGCAGGTTCAAATAAAGGTTCTTTTTAAGGAGGGGGAAAACCATGCATGTCTGAAGGCAAGAGGAAAGAAAGTGCAGAAAAAGAAAGAGTGGTATTGTGGGATCAGTATTGGACTACTAACCATAAGGTGGGTGGTTCAAACCCACCAGTTGCTCTGCAGGAGAAAGAAGGGGCTGTCTGTTCCCATAAAGATTTATGTTTCAGACACCCTAAATAGATTTGCTATGAGTTGGAATCAACTTGATGGCAGTAGATACTACAGAAAGGATTCTTGCATGCATACAGAAGAAAGATGGGAACAAAAACTGATCATTAGGGATGGAGAAGGGCATTTCTGATGGCTTCAGTTTTCTTTGAAAAGGGGTTAAAACTATTTGATGAGATTAGATAAAGAAAGTAGGAGACTTGGGGCTCGAGAGTAGAAAGGTTTAGAATAGCTTACAGAGAGAACTAAAACCCTGACTGGATGAATGAGTGCCAAAGGCAAAAGAACTAAGCTACAATGAAAGTTTTAATGAAATAAGATGTAATAATTTATAGGGAGAGTTCTGGTATAGTGTTGTAGATAAGCACTAGACCATAAGGTTGGCTTGAACCATAAGCTGGTTCAAATTCACCAGCTGCTCCTTGGCAACCCTATACAGGGTCACTACGTGACTCAGCAGCACTTAACAACAATCTTTACAGGAGCAGCCTATCACATCTTTCTCCTGCAGAGTGGCTAATGGGTTTGAACTTCCCACTTTTTAGTTGGCAGTCAAGGATCTTTTAACTACTGTACCACCAGGGCGCCTGTGACTCTATACTAGATCCCCTATTTTGAATGCAATCAGTGTCTGTTTTCTCTAATTGTGCTTCAAAGTTCAGATCATTGCTTGATGAATTTGGTTCCCTCTAAATTGCTGTTGTTGCTGTTCAGTGCTGTCGAGTTGGTTCTGACTCATAGTGACAACTTTTTAAACCACATGGGGTAGTTCTACTCTGTCCTCTAGGATTGCTACGAGCTGGGATCAATTTGATGGCAATGGGGTTTGGATGATGGGGGTGGCACAGGAAGTGTTTAAAGAAGTGAAAAAATATGGGATGTCAGTGACATATTTCTTGAGTGGCTAACAAATAATCCCAAAGGGCAGAAAGTTAACTCAAGTAGTTTGGGAACTGGTGATGTGATTCTAAGAATTACAAGTGTTTAAGTATCTGGTCACCAATACAAGTATTTTGAAAGCTTAGAGGATTATTGTAATTTTTATCAATAAGTTCTGGCAAGTAAAAAGTTGACTTTCCAGAAATGTGTGATAGAAACATTAAAAAACAAAACAAAAACAACCAACAACCAAAAAATCAGTAGCTGCTGACGCTACTATTGTACAACTAAATACTTTATAGGGTTTGGTTCCTTGATTTGGAGATTTAGGGTCATAGTTTCATGGGACACTGCAGTTCATTGCCCTAATAATGTATTGAGTGCTCCTAGCTCGTTGTGCAGTGCCTAGGGTCTTATAAGCTTGCAAGCAGCCATCCTAGGCACAACAATCGGTCTCTTATTCACCTGGAGCAATAGTGGAAAGAGGAGAATCAGGAACATGAGGATATGAAATGTGTGATTAATTGCCTACAGTCAAAGATTCTATTAAAGAATTCTGATTAAAAAGTGAAAAATGCTGTACAGAATTTCAAATTTTCTAAACTCTAGGCTTTCCAGAGTTGGAGTGTAGATGAACTCCTGAAACTACTGCCCCAAGATAATCTTTAAATCTAAAGCCCAAAATATTCCCTTAAGTCTTCTTAAAACCAACAACAGGTTACCTTAACTAGGAAAAAAAAAGTCTGCCTTAAGCCTCACATGCTCTTTTAAGATCTATACAGTATCAAAAGAATCTTGGTGCCGTGCTGTGGGTTGATGGGCCGGGCTGCAAGGTCAGCTTAAACTACAAGGTCCGCAGTTAAAGCTCACCAGTCACTCTTTGAAAACCCTATACAGGGTCGCTATGAGTCAGAACTGACTTGAAAGCACTCAATTAACAACACCAACATATAGTATCAAATTGACAATAGTAACTGATACAACCAGTGCCTCTGTTCAATCCTTGCACCAATTAATGAATAAGATACACTGTCAAGATAAAGTCATTTAAGATCCTTACTAACTAGCTGAACCACTTTTTCATTCAAATTCACATCAATTAAATTATCCATCTGATTAAAAACATGACACTACTCCTGGTACAAATATTAAATGTAATTTTTACTTCCAGTTGGTATAAAATTAATTTTATTAACTGAGATAGCGCCATTCCAATGTGCATTAATTATAGTAATGATTTAATACTTTAAAATACTACAGTTAAATGAATTTTATATTTAGGCATCACAATCTTTAAAGTTTTATAATACTTTCATAATAACAGCCAGTATTTATTGAGTGCCTGCTCTCAAATCATTTATATATTTTTCTTTTGATCTTAAGTCAATCTTAAAGATAAAGAAGCTGACACTTAGAAATATAGTAACTTGCCAAAGGTTATACTTGTAGGAACAAACAGGTGGGGCTGAAATTAGGTATATTTCAAGTGTATTAATACTAAACCATACTTAGGTTTTTATGAAATTGCTGTTATGAAGTGCCATCAAGTTGGTTCTGACTCATAGTGACCCTGCATAGGGTTGTGGAGGTTGTAAATCTTTACAGGCACAGAAAGCCTTATCTTTTCCTGTGGAGTGGCTGGTGGGTTTGACCTACCCTGCAATTAGCAGTCCAGTGCTATCCTACAGTGCTACCAGTGTCCCGTTTTGTCAAATGTTGTTTGTTGTTGTTAAGTGCCATAGAGTCAGTTCTGACTCTTAATGACACTGTATAGGGTTTCTGAGGAGTGGCTGGTGGGTTTCAACCACCGACTTTGTGGTTCAAACCAACCCTGCGGTCCAGTGCTTTATCCTACAGAACCACACCATTTTTTTTACTAGAGAAGAAAATGATCCCTGTCATGCAAAAAAGGGTTATGATTTAAATAAAATAGAAATTTGGGACTCCTAAGCTAAAATTCACTGCCTCTCAGTCCCATGGTATACTCTCTTGGGTTTTGAATCATATCCTCTCTTTTTGTGTAATTCCAAATAAAACATACGATTTCTTTTTTTCTAGCACTGTTGCTGCTATCAGCACTTACTAGTAATATGAAGGAAAACTATTAGTTCAGTTAAAGAACATTTAGGGTAGCTCACTCTAAATCTGAGTATATAAATTCACTATAATAGGAAACAAGATCACTTCTATGGAATAAAGGAGCGTATTTTCAAGGAAACAACAACAACAACAAAAGTACAGAAGAAAAGGCGCATATTAAAGGGAATAATAATTAGGTAGCTGATCACTCAGAATCAGAGAAATCAAAATAATTTTGAGCTGCACAGAACCCTGGATGATCTGATTGATAAATTTTATATGAGGGGAATTTACAATACTTATGGAAAAATTCCATTATCCTTTAATTCCATTTTCTATGAACCTTTTGAAGCCCTCTAGTATGTAGATACACTTAGATACAGTAGGGTTAAATGAAGTATCTTGCTCAATGTCACACACTAAGATACTGTGGACATTTAGCAGGTACTAAATAGACATCTATGAAAAACCTGTTGTTGTAGGTTGTCATCACGGCTGTCCAACTCATGACAACCCCATTAATGCAAAGTAAAACTGCTCCATAGAATTCTCAACACCCTTTAGCAAGCTTAATGATGAAATTGTCAGTGCTTTAAAGTAGCAAGGCAAATGAGTCCTGGTGTGGCGCTGTGGGTTAATGCGCCAGACTGCAAAGCCGTTTGAACTGCAAGGTTGGTGGTTCAAGTTCATCAGCTGCTCCTTGGAAACCCTATAAAGGGTCGCTATGGGTTGGAATTGACTCACCAGCACATAACAACCAATAGTACAGGTATTTCTTAAGCTAGCTAAGGAAGTTTTACTTTAAAAACTATAGCAACAGCATTCTTCCCATAAGAAATAATGGTAACAAAACTTAATTATGTCCTTTCTAGAGGATAGATTACAACAATTAACTACTAGTCAGAACACTAACTTAAGAACTCAGCACAGCAGAGGGGAAGAGTTGTTACTGTATGAGATGAGAAGGAGGGCAAGCACAACACTGGGGCAACTACTGGAATTAACCCCAATCCTGCCCAACTCTCACATTTAAACAATGCATGGAAAGCTGTGACTCCAGTGAAAACTTCTGGGGGCTTCTTGATACCACAACTTTCAAAAACTAAGAGGAATCAATGTGATATAAGGTCAAATCATATCTACACATGCAAATTATGTAGTAAGGATAAATAAACATGAAAAAATCCAACACAAAAAAAATAAGATATTTCAAGGATGAAAAAGGGACCTTGTGCTGTGACATTTACCAGCAATTAGCTATCCCACAGGAGGCTAGTAATGTAGTGGCTGAAGCCCTTGGCTGCAAACCAAAAGACTGGTGGTTGGAACCCACTAGTTGCTTTGTGGGTAAAAGATGTGATTGTCTGTTTTCGTCAAGATTTACAGTCTTGGAAACCCTACTCTATTCCAGGGCAGTGACTTTGCTGTTTCTTTTTTTTAAAGCTACCCTACTGTATCGGACTTCTCATATGGCGCTGTGGATTAATGTGTTGGACTACAAAGTCAGTTTAATCTGCAAGGTCAGTGGTTCAAGCTCACCAGTCGCTCCTTGGAAACCCTATACAGGGTCCCTATGGGTTGGAAGAGACGTGACAGCACTTCACAAAAACAACAACAACTCAACTGTATCATCTGACAATGCCTAAGAACACTAAGATGTCCTTCCCATGTGGCAGACCTTGCAACTCTCAATAGTGGCAAATATATAGTAATCAAAGATCTTGTAAATTCATAAAGCAAACACAGTAGAGAAAAAAAAAATGCCTGCAATATAACAATTTTAAAAAGAAGTACTAACATTTATAACTTTTTTTCTTTCTAAAAAGAAAATAATACTCCATTTACCAGCATGCATAATGAATGGGCGCCCAGTGGTCACTATCTAATTGGTTGACTGAAAGTTTTTCATTGAGAAGACGGCTTAGCAATTCTGAATCTCCTTCACAGGCACTTCGATGGAGAGGAAAATCATCTACCCACTGTCGCTCCCTAATCATTAAAAACAAATTTAAAATATTAAATAAAAGTTATCAGTGAATTTAAAATTGTTTCAATACAAATGTGACATATCTCTGAAAGCGACATATCACTGAGCACCTTGAAACTGGTGATTATGGCATATTACAGACTAACAGAATATGTAATTTAAAAATATTTCTTAAACTATAAATCTTTTAAAAAGCAACATGGAGTAAAGTGAAAATAGTACTTGTCTTCAGTGACACTGCTCATGCTTCTCTGCCAGTTTTCCTGTTTGGGAATTTGAATTTTTGAGTAGTCGGGAGCTCCTAGACCAAAGTATGGATTTATTACCACTTTATCTACCTAGAAAGGGAAAACAAAACAAAAGCAAAAAAAAAAAAAAAATCCTTAAATATGTTTTAACTTGACTTTAAAGCTTAAGTGTGGGTGTCATCTAAATGTTTACAGTTAGTAATAGATATATTTATATCTCAGAAAATAAAAATTAAATTTGATATGAAATGTCTTTTGAAACCAGAGTCTAAATTCATTCAACTCTTACCCGATTTGTATATTGAAGATCTGATCCAAACAAAGGGTTGTAAATACAGGTATCTGCTTTCTCTAGGGCTAACATTTTACTCTTTATTTCTAGTGCACTATAGCCCATATGTAGTGAGTTTTCTGTCTGACCTGATTCAGTAGCATATGCAGGGTTTATGACATTAGTTTTTATCCGCTCAAGAGGAGAAGGTCGAAATAAAGCTGGAATAAAGTGAGATTGTGCATGACGTTCATCTAACCACCTGAAAGATAGGAAGAAGTCATAGAAATATTCATTAAAATATAAAGATGAGATGAAGAAAGTAGACTACAAGCCAACTCTTAGATGAAATGCTTTTAATATTACATTTAGATTCTATCATTTTAATTAGCAATAATTATATCAATTTATTAATACAAGTTTTATTAATAGACACAGCAAATAATGTTTAAAGCATGTATACTACTATAAAAATGGAATAAAAACTTCTTACAAAAAATATGAAGTACTTCTTTAGTTGACTGTTTTTTAATTTTATTGTTGCAAAAATAGATACAATATAAAATTTGGCATTTTAATCACAGAATTCAGTAGCATTAATAACTGTGTTGCATGACCATCAACACCATTCATTTTGAAATTTTGTTTATTCATCTGAAGACCAACAACAGGGTTGTTTCCATGTTTTGGCTATTATAAATAATGATGCAATGAACATTAGTAAAGTGTTTGTTAATAAACTTGATCCACTGTGATAAAGGTGAGATTATAATATGGTTACAGAAAGGCAAACAACTTGTTCACTGATAAAAGTAGTTTAATACAAAATCTAGCTTCATAGCATGGAACTGCGATTCTTAAGTCAGGGTTACCTTCGCCATTCTTGAAGAATAAAATTAAGATGCTGCACGTAAATTAAAAACTCTTGTCTCACAGGATTTTCATTTTTATATTATATGAAACTTACCATTTTCTTAATACATGTAATATTAACTTCATTACTTTCTTTTAAAAGTCTGAATCTATCATAGCTAATTTCTACTATGAACATGTATTTAATTTACTAAAAATACTGTTAATGGCATCTCTTACTTATCCAAGGCTATTAACATCCTTGCTGTAAGTGTAGCAAAGTGAGTGCTAGATTCGCTACAAACTCGCATAATATCTTGTAAGCAGTAAAAAATTGGGCATCCTGGAGTATATGTATATTTAGTATTATCTGAAAAAGAAAAATAAAGAATTATGCCATCATTTTAAAAGTTTAAAACTGGATATTTTTCATTTAAAAGTAAACAATACTTTTTTTTTTTTTTTTAAAAAGGGAAACTCATCATGTGTAACAAATTCTTCAGTAATGTTGTCTTACTAATAAAATTTCCAATGCCATTGAAAATAGTGAACTTTGTACCTCAACTACAGGAGCTGGTTAATCAAATTGGGGCAAGAACCAATTTTATAAATAAGAAGCTAAAATTTAAAGAGGTGATTTGCCCAAGGTTGTAAAATTAGTGGGCAGCAAGGTCTGTAGTGAAATTTAATGTATTTTTTTCTCATTCCAGGATGTTAAAGGCTCAAATTAATTTTTCATATGAGATCTAAGTTCTCTAAATTTTACTAATACTGTGGGTCAGAGGATATTAGAATGACTAATGATCCTTCTTGTCTAAATATAAGGTAGATTCAGATAATAATTAGTTTTCCAGAACACTTAAACATCTATTTCTATTCTAACCATAGTTTCTCAGCCCATCTTCTATTAATCTGAAAACATGCATTTTACAACCATTTTATAGGAGTAACTGTGAATACAACTCCTAAGTTCCTCAGTAAACTTTAGCTCAACATCTAAAGTACATAAAGATTCCAAAGGTAAACTGATGCTTTACCTTTGACAACTGATGGCACAATGAATAGTGCGGCTTCTCTGCCGATCTTCTCTCCATCCAGAGGAAATGTCTTCATTAGTACCACTCGTTTTCCTAGTAATTTTTTAAGTTAGCAAAGGCAAAAACAATGGGATTGAAAATCTTGTAAATAACTTTGAGAATTAGAAAATACATTTTTAAGAAGGATACATTAAGAGGAAAGCAAATGTAATAACAGAGTCAATATTATTACATGCATGAATAAGAACTGACAATTCTGATTATGTATACTGGACAATCAACACTAGGTTCACAGTCGTGGTCTTTACTCATTAAAAAAAGATGTTACCAATGCATAGCAAGGAAAACTGTCCTGCCAAGGATTAAGAATGTGGCTGAGTAACAAAGTACTATGTAAGGGGCAGAGGTTCCTTGGTATACTCAATTGTTAACCTAAAGGTTAAAAATCACCCAGTGACACCGTAAGAAAGGCCTGGTGATCTGTTTCATGGAGATTACAGCAAAGAAAACCCTATGGAACATGTGGAGTCACCAGGAGTCAAAGTCGAGCTGACCACAATGCGTTTATTTGGTTTTGGTTTAGCAGAGGCAAAAGGCGTATGATTTCTCAATCAGTTGGGATGTAGACAGTAAGGATTTTACTAAAGCCTAGGCTGGCTAAGAAGGATTTTTGTAGTTGTTAAGTACTGTCGAGTCGGTTCCGACTCATAGGGACCCTGTATAGGGTTTCTGAGGAACGATTGGTGAGCTTGAACCATCGACCTTGTGGTTCAAACCAATTTTGAAGTCTGGTACATTAACCTGCAGCGCCACACCAGGATAAGAAGGGTTGTTGTTAAGTGCCGTCATGTCAGTTCTGACCCATAGCGACCCTGGACAGGGTTTCCAAGGCTGTAAGTCTTTAAGGGAGCAGAAAGCCTCATTTTTCTCCCACGGAGCAGCTGGTAGTTTCGAACTGCTGACCTTGAGGTTCGCAGCCAGATTTGTAACCACTACGCTGCCAGAGCTCCTTGGATAAGAAGGGTAGTATACATAAATTTATAGTACTATGGTTTAGTAGCTCTTCCGTTAACATTCAACCTCTACACTCAATTTCAATTTGTATTAAAATATGACTAGACTACATACTATTGTTCTGAATGATAATAGTCTTAGTCGGTTTTTCCTGGTCTGGCAACAAGGAGGTTACAAGTCACACTCTCTAAAATTTCTCTTCCTCTTTTGGAAGCACATGACCAGGCCTGTCTTCTGAGGTACTGCCAGGTGGGTTTGGAACAATCTTTCAGCTAGTAATTATGTGCTTAACTGTTTATGCCACCCAGTCACCTAAAATACCTATATAAAGAAACCAAACCAAACCCAACCCACTGCCCTTAAGTTGATGCCAATTCATAGTGACTCTATAGGACAGGGTATTGCTATTGTTAAGCACCATCAAGGTGATTCAGACTCATTGAACTGTTGACCTGTGGTTTGCAGTCCAGTGCTTATCTTATAGCACCACACCAGGAGTCGAGAGAACAGGGTAATACTGTCCTATAACGTTTACAATGCTACAGTTTTTACCAAAGTGGACTATCACATCTTTCTCCTGCAGAGACACCAGTGAGTTTGAACTGCCAACCTCTCAGAAGCTGAGCACTTAACCAATGCACCACTAAGCAGGGCTCATAAGCTACCTACATAGCATGGCATACGACTATTGGTATTATAAGGTCATTTCTGATTTCCATGTGATGCTTATACTCTATAAAAATATTTTATAAATTTAGGAAAACTCAACTAAATAAGATGTTTAAATTATAGTATGGCTGATAAATATAATTATTTAGTTAAGCACACCAGGACTCAGATATAACAGTTTAAACATGTCAAATTCAGGTTCTGTTATAGAACTAGAATTAGCAGGACGCTGGTTAATTGAATGCTGGGAAAGAGGAATTCCAGATAGCCCTAGGTTTTTAAAAACTTTTTATCTGAGCCTTTAAAGATGGGGAAGATGAGCAAATGGAATCTATAGCTCTTATTTGAAAGTAGTCTATTCTGAGGTAGGTGTCCTGAGTTAAAAAGGAATTCTCTGTATAGAATTTATCCTAAATAGATGTTGACAATTTTTTTTCTCAATATTTTCATAGTTATATCAGTTGTTGATACTGCTGTAGAAAACTTGGAAAATATATAAATATTTCCTGATATCACAAGAAAAAAAACAAAAAACTTCTCTGTTTTCTTTTATTAAATGTGCCTTAAAAATATATTAGCACATTTTGCTACCTAAGAACACAAAGCATAATTGTGCTAAACGTGTTTCAGGATGCCTGTCTACTCATAACTTCATCTAAGAGAAAGTATCCAGCTTTCTGGGACAAGGGACACTTTTGTTAACACTAACACCTTTTTCATTCCCTTTCAGGATGAATGGATGGGTGGCAGAGCTTGGCTGATTCATAGCAAATTATGACTTCTTGATCTCAGCTCAAATATGTGATTAAAGTTAATCAGATTTCTGTTTCAGGATTTAGTCTCAAGGCAGATCCTGATAACAACAACAATTAAACAGTAGTAGGATCAGTCTGGATGGAATTTTATCAGACAAGTCCAAGATTGAAGCAGAAAAGGCTAAAAGAGGGAGTTTTTCACATACCTGATCAACCCAAAGGACAGTCTCTTTTTAGCTAAGGTCAGTTTCAAGATCATTTTATTAAATATCAGTGTGCAAATTAGGGAACGAGGATTCTTTTGTGGGGCTCAGAATGTGTCAGAGTATCAAAGATCTGTAAATCTATGTGGGAATGTCTCATAATTCTGAGTCACAACGCTGAGAGCTCCAACCCACAGAAACCTTTAAAAGTCCCTTCTGGGGAAGTTACCCAGTTCATTAAGTAAAATATGCTTAATTCCCAAAAGTTATGGAACATAGACTTATAGTTCAGCTACCTTCATAGAACATATTCAAAATAATTAATAAAACATGGGTTTCAGATGTATTCCTACAACAAAAAGTTTCCTTATTGAAGCAGATGAATCAGACAACTAATCTCTATTAAGAGGAACAGGAAAAAACACACTGAGTAAGCTTAAAAAGAAAACCCAAAAAAATTGGCACAGAAATGTAGTCCTTATCAATAACAATTTTCAGTGGCTGTTTGACTAAAGTTAGCTTTATCTTTCTAAGTATTATGCCTCATTTTTGGTTCCTCAGTGATGCAAATGGCTAAGGGCTTAACTACTAAGTTAAATGCTGGCGGTTTGAACACACCCACAGATGCCTCGGAAGCAGGTCTGGCAATCTGCTTCTGGAAATCACAGCCTTGGAAACCTTACAGGTCACCATAAGTTGGTATGGAGTCAGTGACAACTAACAACAACTAACAGTCGTGGAAATAGTTCACATTTTCTGAAACTTCTGAATGCTATGTGCTTCTTTAGAGGTTGAGGCCAGAGAAAGGATTTTAGATTTTAGATCAGTTTGTTAGTCTATTCATTACCTAATATTTTAAATGGAGCCCCAGTCTTTCAGGATTAATCCTTGCACATTTCAGTTTGGCTCTTTGAAAAGGTTCTTCTACCTGTCACCAGATGTGAAGGAAACCTATGTTACCTATTAACTTCTAGGACTCTCCCCATACCCATGAATGTCAACTTTTACTTAATTATGAAGTCTATAATTTCTACTGTCCTGGAGTAAAGAAATAAAAATAGCAGTTCAAAGATACTTCTTTAGGAAACTATACACTTCTAGAAAGATTAATTTATACTTCTACTTTTCAAATCAAGGAGCCCTGGTGGTACAGTAGCTTAAATAGTGGAGTGCTAACCAAAGGGTTGGTGGTTCGAAGCCACTCCATGAGAGATTTACAGTCTCAGAAACTCTATTGAGCAGTTCTACTCTCGCCTATGGAGTCCTGGTGTTTGCTGTGGGTTACTGTGCTGGACTGCATTGTCTGTTTGAACTTCAAGGTCAGCAGTTCAAGCTCACCAACTACTCCTCAGAAACAGTATAGAGTCGTTATGGGTCGGAACTGACTGGATGGCACTTAACAACAACTCTTTCCTCTAGGGCCACTAAGAGCAGAACTGACTTGACAGCAGTGGGTTGGTTTTGGGTTAGTTGACAAATTACCACTTGAATTGCTCTTTTTCTACTGAGTAAATTAACATTGTCACTTAAGTGTTTTTCAACTTGAAATATACAAATATTGGTTCTTGTATCTATTATCTCCACAAGTATTTAAAACAAACTGTTGACAGAAGTTTCCTACCTCTGATACCCTGATTCGCAGGAGAAATTGGTTTGGTAGTTTCTACGACATAATCCAATATGCCTTGTGTTACTTCACTGTTGCCTTGTAGTTTGGTTTCCAGCAAAACTTTCTTTCTCTTTTTTTTCTGTCCTTCAATGGGAACTTCATGTAACAAAATCTTAGATGAGAAAATATTAAGAGAAAGTTTAAGCTAAAACTTACATCCCCTAGAATAGTTGCATATTAAAATAATTTGGGAAGCTTTTAAAATCATACTAATGTCCAGGCCCATCTCAGCCCTATCTGAAGAGGAATCTCAGAGGAACTGGGCCCTGATCCTGGGAATTTTAAAAGTTCCCCAGATGATTCTCAAGTGCAGCCAGGATTGAGAACCACTAAGTCAAAGCACTACTGCTACAGCAGCCAAGTGAAAATGCCAACAGCAAACTTTAATAAGGTTCTGATAACTTTAAAAATCATTTAAAACAAAATGCTAGAGAAGTAGTTGAAGTTAAGTTAGATTAGATATATTTCATAGTTTTTCAAATCTGTGGCAAAGAAACATAACAACTGTTTTATTTTGCTTCAATTACGTGCTTACTTAGCATATACAATATAATCCAACACTACAGAGAAATAATTCAATTGCCCAAAATTTAAAGTAAAAAGGATTATTTTAAAATGACTGTTAAAAATAGTTATTTGAGCAAATAACCAAAAGTAACACACAGAAATTCTGAATTAGCTTTTTTTTTTGCAGTGATTTATTTAATTTTTCAGATCCAGTTCATATATTGTACTAAAAATTAGGGAGCCTGGTGTAGCTCTTGACTATTAACTGCAAGGTTGGTGGTTCAAACCCACCAGCTGCTTCTTGGAAACCCTATACAAGGTTACTATGAATCGGAACTGACTCAATACCACTTAACAAAAACAACATTTAAAAGTTAGATCCATACATTTCAAAGATAACTCAATTAAGTAACTTCGTACATCTAAAAACCAAATAACAAAATGCCCAAAAGGCATACAACAGAAAAAAAAAGTGATAGGCAGAGATCTAGAATTATAAGCTTGTCAATAAGAATTTATAGGATATGGTATAAGACTTTATATATAAATGATAATACTACATTCAATAGAAGCAAATCAAATGTAGTTAATTTTTCTTACTTCATATGATTTAGCTCTGTATTCCCGAGAATTGAGACTGGTGGTATTCTTTGGACGAATGACAGCTACGTATGTCTCTTCTAAGTTTTCCGGATTTCCCATTGCTTTATAATATAGACAAATGAAAGAATTGGTGACAAGTAAAAAAATACTGTATTGTATCCTAACTTGACAATTTTTATTTATTTCCACATGACACTGAGGACCAATTTAAGTTATAATGTTAGATGTTTTGTTACATCTAACACTAAAATTCACTGCTGGCAAGTCTATTCCGATTCATAGCAGCCCTGTAGGACACAGCAGAGCTGTTTCATAGGGTCTCCTAGGCTGTGATCTTTATGGGAGCAGATCACTAAGTCTTTTCTCCTGCTGAGCAGATCACTAAGTCTTTTCTCCTGCTGAGCAGCTGGTGGGTTTGAATTGCCTGGTTTTCAGCTGAGTGATTAACCATTGCTCCACCATAGTGATTCAAATAACTATTTTCTAAAAGTTACACAAACATGAATGTTATATTGATACATTTGTTAACTGTTGTTGTGTGCCGTGGAGTCGGTTCCGATTCATAGCAAGGCTGTTAATCTTTACAGCAACAGAAAGCCTCAGTTTTTTCCTGTGTTAACAGTCAGGAAGTTGGAAATAGGTAGCTACGTATATTCACTGACATTTACTCCAGAATCTTTGGAAAGGAGAACATTGATTGATATTAGAAATATGGATGAGCTATATAGTCTAAAAAGGAGCTCTGGTAGCATAGCGGCTGCTAATCTAAAGATTGTTGTTGTTGGTAAGTGCCGTCGAGTCGGTTCCGACCTATAGCGACCCTGTACAGGGTTTCCGAGGCTGTAAATCTTTACGGGAACAGAAAGCCTCCTCTTTCTCCCGCGGAGCGGCCGGTAGTTTCGAACTGCTGACCTTAAGGTTCACAGTCCAATTCGTAACCACTACATTAGCAGTTCAAAACTACAGGCTGTTCCACAGGAGAACGATGAGGCTTTCTGCTCCTGTGAAGATTTATGGCCTCGGAAAACCTATGCAAGGTCACTATGTATGAGTCAGAACTGACTCCACGGCACATAACCACCACCACCAACATGTAGTTTAAAAGTCATCTCAGTTTAGTGTAATTATCTTTTGGAACAGAGCTCAGTGTCATAAAGTAAGAAAAACTGGCTTCTAAGCAGCTAATAACATGTTTATAACTTTGTGGAGTCCTGATGTGGTGCTGTAGGATAAAACATTGGACTGTGAGGTCGGTTTCAACCACAAGGTTGGCGGTTCAAACTCATCAGTTGCTCCTTGGAAATCTGACACATGGTCACTATGAGTTGGAACCCACTTAATGGAACTTAACAACAAGTTGTTGTTAAGTGCCGTTGAGTGGATTCCGACGCATAGCAACCCTGTATAGGGTTTCCAAGGAGCAGCTGGTGAGCTTGAACCACCGACTTTGCAGTTCAAACAGCTCTGCAGTCTGACACATTAACCCACAGCGCCACACCAGGGCTCCTAACGACAAGTAGCTAATATAAATATCGAAATAATAAAGTTCCATATATTGTCTTCAAAAAATGGGGCCTGTCTTCATCCTCAGGACTAAAAAGTGAGCCGACAGAAAGCGGACAGAACTCATACCTTTAGAGTGCGACAACATTTTAGAAGAGTAAAACAAGCCAGCTCATAAGCATCAATGTCAAAAAAAAAAAAAAAGGGTTCTCTTTATAATGATGCTGACAAACCCCCCCCCCATAAATTCCATAAATTGTATTTATTACATTTGATAAGGAAAAGACAAGTCAGAAAGATTTCCATCCAAGACAGCTTACAATTATGTTCTGACTTAAAAGTTACATTACAGCTGTCTAGACAATTTCCATGTTTACTTAAGTAGTGTTTAGGAAAGCACCAGCTATTACTTGTGTTTTCATTAGTTTATAGGTTTCATTCTTTTTGTCAACAAATTTATTCATGTTTATAGGTTATAATCTCTTGGAGGCCAAAAATACATTCCCTGTTCGGTAAGCACTGGACTGTCAACCAGAAGGTTGGCAATTTGAGCCCTGGCCCCTCTGCAGAAAAAATACGAAGCTATCTGCTCTTGCAAAGATATACAGCCTTGGAAACCCTATAAAGCAGGGGTGGGGAACCTTGTTTCTGCCAAAATTTATGACATCATTTGTGGGTCATACAAAATTATCAACTTAAAAATTAGCCTGCTATATTTGGTCAAACATTTAATTAACTCTCCCCTCAAATTCATCAGCCCACGCCCTGGAAACCCTATACAGAGTCGCTTTGTATGGGAACGGACTCGAAGACATTTAACAACAATGTGATGGCCGGAACTCACTCCTAATGTGATGGCAGTTGTCTTGGCAGGACCAGATGCTCCCTACCTCTACTATACAGGATCGCTTTGAGTAGAAACCCACTGGATGGCACTTAATAATATCAAGGAGCCATAATATATGGTTAGTTGCTAAAAGCTTTCTGATGATGATTTAATAGTCTTTCCCATTTCCATTATCAATTCCCTGGGTAATTTAATTTTTTTCCGCCAAATGTATTCTCTCTTTCTATATATATACATACACACATAAATTTTTTTTCTTCCCAAACTCATGTTGTCTTTATTGGGCAATTTCCAATAAGTAATTGAATTTCAATCCTATTCTTGGAAAATAATTCAGTCCACTAATTCTGTATCTTATTAAATGTTATTAATTTTTTTCATGGCTAAACTAAAATGAAGGTGCCCTAGAGGTGCAGTGGCTAAGCACTGGGCTGCTAGCCGACAGGTTGGTGGTTTGAACCTACCAACAGCTCTGTGGGAGACAGGCGTGGCAGTCTAACGGGTCAGTACACTTCTGTAAAGATTATTGTTGCTGTTAAGTGCTGTCAAGTTGGTTCTGACTCAGAGTGACCCTGTATAGGGTTTCTGAGGAGTGGCACATGAATTTGAACTGGCGACCTTGTGGTCCAGTGCTGATCCTACAGTTCCATCCTGTGGAGCAATTCTACATTGTCTTATAGGGTTACTATGAATCAGCATCTACTTGACAGCAATGGGTTTGTTTTGGGGGGTTTAGACTGAAAAGTCATATCTTTGGATTGAAAATCTTTTACCTTAAGAACAAAAACAAAAATCCCTAGCAGATTTCTAAAAACATTAAGCAAGGAGTTTCTTTTCCAGCCACGTTAATGTTCTTCAGTTTTTAAAAAACCCATTAGGCATTAAAATGATCTGTACATAATTAATGAGTTACTTAATGCTCCAATGCTTATAGACCAGGGTAAAAAAAATTCTTTTTCAAGAAGTGATTCTGAATGTTTTATGAGAAGACACAGTAATCTGTTCTGTTTTCTGAGCTAGAAATGATTATACCACTCTAGAATACTTGTTTCCCTAAACAATAATAAAAATGACTATGTCTATGATTAGAAATTTCCTTAAAAAAATGTAAAAGAAATCCAGTATCTTGACATTTTAAATATAAACTATCATCCACAATTTTTAAATTAAAATTTAAAATAAAACCAAAGGTTTTATTTAAAATCATATATATATTACCGACTCAGATCTAAAGAAACCCAGTTCACTAGACAGCTTACAGAAATACATTACAATGGAGGTACTTCATTCTGTGAAAATGAGTTTGAGCACATATCATCCAATCTTGCTCTACACCTCATGGAATTTTTTTAGTTCAATTTTTTTTCCCATAAGCTCATTCTTAAAATTCACCTCATGCAACAGCATGTAAAAGAATTAGGTGTTTCTCTTCTCAGAATTTCTACCTTTCATCTCTGATTAATAAGAAAATTTTACAAATTATAACCTGTATAGATGTCGCCATAAAGACTGAAAGCCCCCCAAAGGTAGATATTGCATTATGAATACAGTATGTATACATGGCACAATTATAAAAAATTCTTGTTGTTGTTAATGTTCGAGTCGGTTACAACTCATAATGATCCTGTAAAGGATTTCTGAGGAGCAGCTGATGAGCTTGAACCGCTGACCTTGTGGTTCAAACCAATCTTGCAGTCCAGCATATTAACCTGCAGTGCCACACCAGGACTCCAAAAAAAAATGCTTATAGTTTATTAAAACCTAAAACAAACTCTTAATAGTAAGATTTTCTAGTAAGCATTTAAAAGAGAAACAAGTTAATTCTTGGCTTTCTAAACACAATTTAAAGCAAATCAATTCTTGTATTGAACAACTCATGTTAGGAAAATATCTAGTAGCAAAGTGTTAATATTCATCATTGCTCTAGATTACTTAGTATTTTAAAACATTCTGTTTTGAAAATCAAACAAACATGGTGCAATAAATAAACAAAGGCTTTAAATTCTGGTGTGGTGCTGTGGGTTAATGCGCCAGACTGCAAAGCCGTTTGAACTGCAAGGTCAATGGTCCCAAGCTCCCCAGCTACTCCTCGGGAACCCTATACAGGGTTGCTATGGGTCAGAACCAACTCAATGGCACTTCACAACATAATTATGGAAGTTACAGAGTTTTGATTTTAAACCAATTAATGTTAACAGGGAGTCCTGGTGTGGTGTTGTGGGTTAATGTGCTGGACTGCAAAGTCAGTTTGAACTGCAAGGTTGGCAGTTCAATCTCACAAGCTGCTCCTCAGAAACTACACAGGGTCGCTATGGGTTGGAACCAACATGACAACATTTAACAACAACATCAACAGATTCCCCCCAAAATTTGTAAAATTGATTTCCAAGAAATCTTCCCACCTATGTGAAATAAACAAATAGTATATTTTTTCACTGTCATGAAAAAAGGAAGAAAGACAAAAGCTAATTATAAATGCAAAACTGCTAAGGCAGAAATACATGTATAAATTTGGAAAAGAGTAACTCAAGTTAAAATAAAGCCATAACTAGTTTGCGTAATGGTTATGAATTGGGCTGCGAACCTTAAGGTCAGTGGTTTAAAACTACCAGCCGTTCCACAGGAGAAAGATGAGGCTTTCTACTCTCGTAAAGATTTACACCCTCGGAAACCCTGTACAGGGTCGCTATGGGTTGGAACTGACTCGACGGCACATAACAACAACAATAACTAGTTTGTAATATTTTTAGGCT